CGTAATTGCCTTACAAAACAATGCCGCCAGAAAATCTTAAATCTAGTATTGTTCAAATTATATCTCTATAACGCCACCTAAATTGAACATATCACAAATGCACTGATGTTACTTGCGGTTCCCGTGATTTGTCCACAATAAGAATAAGCTAAAAGATTAATTTTTATAAATTCTTATACCGTCACCCCATAGCCTATACCCCACCCCCATAGCTATGTGTCACAACTAGTTACCATATACAAACTATTATCATAATATATATATATATATACAATTATATTATACAATTACAATTATATTACAATTATATTATACAATTATATTATACACCCGCGTACACGTCACAATGTACGCGTGGGCCTACATCGCGCGTATACATTCTTCACGTCACATATCACACAGTACACACTTACACACCACACACACACCACACACACACACACGACACACCACACACACACACACCACACACTACCACACACACACACACACACACACACACACACGAACACAGCACCACACACACACACACACACACACACACACACAACACACACACACACACACACACAACACACACAACACACACACACCACACACACACACACACACACACACACACACACACACACACACACACACACACACACACACACACACCACACACACACACACAACACACACACACACCACACACACCACACACACACACACACACACACACACACACACACACACACATACACACACACACACGCACACCACACACTGACACACACACATACGCGCGCGCGCACGCACGCACTCACGCACGCACGCACGCTCGCATGCACGCACGCAACACCACACACACACACTCTCTCTGCTCTCTCGCTCTCTCTCTCTCTCTCTCTCCTCTCTCTCTCTCTCTATCATATTATAATAATATATATATATATATATATATATATATATATATATATATACGTCATAAACACACGCATACACGCTACAAACGTCACAAATACACACGTACACGCGCGCGGTACACCAGCGCACACGGAAGGAATTCTGTTCTCTTAAACCAAAATTGTCCTGATGAGAAATCAAGCCTTTAAAATATGAAGCCAATTTTTAATTAGGCCTATCTAAAGAGGTAAATCTGATAGTTTAGATATATTTTAAAGCTATCATTAAAATGGTCACTCTCGTGCATTCCAAGTATGGAAATGAAGTTCTGTAGTTCACCTCATAAGATATTAACAGGAGGGACCCTCCTTCGCTATTTCTCCGTAGCCTATACCCGGTATACCAGTTACCCAGTATACCCGGTATACTCAGTATACTCAGTAACCTAGTATACCCAGTATACCCGGTATACTCAGTATACTCAGTTACGACCAGTATACCTAGTATACCTAGTATACTCGATATACTCAGTAAACCGGAACCTAGATTCACAGGCACTTGAAGCGTTTCAATAAAATATAATGCTAACTAAATACGAAATCTATTTACTACCAAATTCTTAATGTTTCTGTACTCTCTTTCACCGTCCAAATCCTACGTCCAACCATACACTGCCGGCGCCATTGCTTTCGCGGCGCGACTGTTGCACGCTTACACTAATATGTATAGTGTTACACTAATACACTAATACACTAATACACTATATATGGCAAGCCACGAGATACGGTAATGTAACATGTCTTTTGCACGTGTCACATGGATTAGTGCGTGGAGCTAGACTGGTAGTTGTTTTAGCCATATAGTCTAGCTAGACAGAACGTCGCGTATATTGGGCGGCGGCATTGATGTTACAGGGAGTTGGATAAGCGGGTTCTAGGTTAGGCAGTTTCTAGGGTGATTGTGAAATGAGGGGAACGGTTGGAACTGGACAGAACGGGTGACATGTGCGCTCAAGATGTAGGGAGTTTTGGGCGAATTTATAGGGAGAGATGTAATAGGAGGGAGATTGAGGATTCGGGTTCTGGGCGCGAGAGTGAGCACACGCGCTTATGCGCGTGTGCGGCGTTCTTTGTCTGTGTGTAAGGAGATGTGATGTGTCTAAGATATTAAAGATTGTACAGTTTACCACACAAGTTTGGATCTACTTCATCATTTCGACATGAACTCGCATTCCTGTTTACAGTATCACTCACCAGCGCGTACAGATGCATGTATAACACACTGCTTATCGCTGAAGTAAATGTCTCGTCAGATAACAGTTAAACAGTTAAATGTATAGCTTCTCAGTTAAATATGCGACCCGCACTCCATGTGAGGCGTCGTAGATTTTGAGACTGGGAGCGTAAATTTATACCGCTGTGCTTGCGTTGAGCTTTATTTTTTACATTCAAGGATCAACGTGAAAAAACGCAGACGTGACGTAGCCCTCCCCCGCAGTGCTAACATATGGCCCACGTTAAACCCCTGCCCGTTCCACCAATATTTAACCGCCACTGTTAGTGTATGCAGCCAGCCATGGCAACGCATCGTAAGAGCAACGTCAAACACACCACCACGCACAGCACGCGCAGTATTCGTCCATTACAGGTGATGCACGATGAAACCCAAACTCCAC